GTTCTCCAGTTCAGGGTCCTGAAAACACAGCTTTGAGAGATCAGAGGATATTGACGATGTCTATGGAAAATCCTTTGCGAATGGATTCGTATGGGATTTTGCGACTAGGATATCTTACATATTACACAACAAAGACAATTTATGTTTAATTTTAATTATAAGTTCATATCAGTTGGAAGTTCTTGGTATTCACTTCACTGACATTTACAGATGTACATTGAGTGGATAGCCGGCAAGAATGTGCCATATATACCATAATAGAATAGTTTCGACCACAAAATATCGTGTTGAATCGAGTCAGAAACTTTTGCGAAATACAATAGAAACGACCTTTGGCTTTGTTAAATAATATATCTCCATGGTTTGGAGTGTGAAAACGTTGTCAATTGTACTACAGTCTCGTGAAAACCACATTGAGTTTCAGATAATATATTATTTTTACGACACCACAGATCAAGACGATCAATCAATCAATATTTTTGTTAAAATCTTACTTGTTACAGATAGAAGGGAATGGCTTTACACCATATTACTGGAAAGTTACAACCAGGGAGTATGTTATTAAATAAAAGCAGTAAGACAGGACCAATGTGTGTCCAGTTATGTTTAAATAGCTCTTTTACAAGGCCACCGTGACCCGGAATCTTTTTATTTGGCAAGCTTCTGATCTTAATTTCCAATATAGTTATATTTGCATTTGAATCACGTGGCACATTATCAACACACCGGTCACAGTGCTCGCCGTGTAGTTCCAAGTTCCTAATTCCCACTTTTTAAAATTCATTGGCAAGTGAGACTGGATTGCTCAACAGGCCATGAACATAGTTGTACAAATGATTAGATTTAATTGCACTGAGAGTGCATTACAATTATTATTAAAATGCCATAGTCAACAAAACTTCTATTGGCCTCCGTATGAAAGGAATTGATGAAAAGCTAGTTATCAACCCTAACCATTCATGCTTGCACATTAACCCCGAAGTACTTCTATACTAATTGTGATTGATTTTGTATAAAATTTGGCACACATAACCGGGCGGACAGACAGGGACACAAAACTCATTACCTTCTTTGTTTGTTTGATACGCAGGAGCTAAAATTTGCTAAACAATAAACAAATTATCCAATGCCGGAACATTCATCAAAAGAAAAAGAAAATGAATCAACAAGGCCGTGTATGAGTGTGACGGATTGTATTATTAGTTGCCAGCCTTACATGTGCAGAAAAAACTCCAAACACTACTGATGTACCGACATATACATTGTAATTTCACTTATACTGGTCTTGTTGAAATGCGTGAACCATGTACTATACGCAAAACAAATCAGTAAAGGTTTTATGGTTCCCTAGAAAACGATGAATATAGTGGTTCCACAATTTTTTTCTCATTCATCATTCCAATAAAATTCCATCTCAGTTTGTTGGGAGACATTCTCATAACGAGAAAAATTAATAAACGCGGCATTAATTGAGAGACAACAAAGCTGCACAGGATAAAAACCGTTACGGTGCTCATTTTCTGTACAGTTTACTGGACTGTGTACAATTTACTGTTTGCCTAGTTGTTGTCACTGAGGACAAATAAAAACACGCACATTTTCAAAAAAATCAAAACTATGCTTCATTTATACAACATGAAATGAGTTTTTTTTAACATTCATATTAAAATGTACGTAATCAAATGCCATTTCCATTGTGAAATAACCTTGATTTTATTTTTATTTAAGCCATCATTCAACCTAACTCCGATACCAACGGCAATATCAAATTACATGTGGCGCAACAAAAACAGAAAATATAATAATATACGATAGCAATTCACTTGAACTTTATCCCATCGATATTCGAGTTGTGTAGACTTAAATGTGCCGTTTCATGTTTCTGCTGATGTTTCTAAATGTTTCTAAAAAAGTGTAATTTAAACCCGTTCATTAAAAAAAAAATAAAACACTTAATTGTAAACACACCGTTGTATCTAGGGCGTAAAAGTAAAAAATGAGTTACTTACATTTCAACGTTGTATCACAGGGAATAGGATATTAACACTCACGTCGACAGCTATGAGACTATGCGTATGTTCAATGAAGATGTAATGATATATGTATTTGTGTTGCCTGGTAACATGCATATTTACCACGTGATTATCATCAAATAGGAGACTTTGCTCAGCTCTGATTGATTGATTATTTTGCAAAATCAGCAACTTACGCTTGCTAAAGTGTGAATTATGTCAACGATTCGTAGCAGTCAGTCAAGCGACTGTCAATTACACAATGACGCTGTATAGTATGGAGTCAGATACACCTAACTGATAGAAGTCAAATGTGTATTTATGCTAAAATTATGTTCGTGACTCTATCGTATTTGAATGGAGAATCACTGGTTGTATTGGAACTTAACTTCATTACAATATATGCAAGATAATTAGCTCCCATATGTCGAATATATTAACATATGATCATTTGTAGATAAAAATGGACTTGAACAAAACGTATTCACTAATATAAAAGATGAACACGACACAACATTTAAATACTGAAGAAGTAGAATTCAAAACATGCTTTGAAAGAAGTTTAGTGTGCAAAATATTTGGGGCATGAAATGAATAAAGTATTTAATAAACTGGTTTGCTTTATTTTTCGACGTCGGTTACTCAATACACTGATTAATTAACGTGATTAACGAACATTTTGAGCTTCATTTGTCACTATACACAAGTAATTACACAAGTATTATTTTTTTTAAGATCTATCATACATTATTAAAATTCTAAGGCAATAAAGCTGGATCTCACACTTATCATTTTTTTCTTGGGTTGGGTCATTAGCGCCGGCTTTGAGAATGCTGTTGAAAAGATTTTCTTCTTTCGCAGACGAAGAAAGTTGAAATTGAACTCTATACAAATGAATCGCCGCTGGTGTGGCCATAAGGAACAGTATAACAATACTGCCAACATACTATGCAATTATAATGACGTATTTGCCATATGCGCTACCGGTGTGAACAAATAAAGTAGACTATTTCAACAATGGGGCTAAGTAAGCACTGAAATCGGTTGTTAAATTTGATTTTAGATGATAATTGGGAGACAAATTTATAGTTCCTGTAATTGGAGCATTTCATTCTGATTGTGGGGTATGGGTACATTAAAAAGCATTTTTTTTTGTAAACAAAACTGCATCGTAATGTTGAAATCATAATGTAACTATTGTGTTTAGTGGATTTTACTTCATTGGTGAGAACTAGACATTCTGCAGTGTTGTGCACTTTATTGAATTGTATTTTATTGACAAATATATTTTCCAATGTTGAACAAAACAATTCAAATGAACAGATTAAGTTTCATTTTCGGCGCTATCTATCTCGCAGAATCATCGTTTTACTCGGACTACTAATTATTTAATTTAATTAAAAACACGAACAGGTAGACATTACAGAGTAAGATTATCATACATGTTGACTTCAGTGCGCAAACTGACAATCATTTGGATAATATACGTGTATGTATTGTGCTAGCGTATGTCACTATTTTCGCCATCACTTTAAAAGCCCGCTTGTCAGACAAAACACACACGGCATGTGTCTAATTCATGAAGTATTTTTATTAATAGATTTTTGTAAAACGTTACAATTGTCATGGACTTACAGGAAAAAATAACCGGTAATAATAACTAATTTCGATTCAATTAATGGCTACAGTGTAGATAGTAGACCAGAATCGGATCACTAAGTACATACGTTACAAATGTTATTTATCAGCCATGTTATTTATGTGCCGTGTTACAATACTGACACACCAATTAAATCACGCAACGTATTATAAAAATCGTCATAGGGAAGGTTTGTTAGAATCTTTGAAAGTATTGCTTTCGACGAATTTTCGGAACAATTCTACACAAATCTCGGCAATAACCATGTTAATAAGTGTTTAGATAATGAATGTTATATACATTTTGTTTTGTAACCTGACTTCATGGAACGTAATAAATTCAAACAGCATTATAAGCAGGCTAGTATGACACCGAATTTAGTGACAAAAAGATAACGTGTTTTACGCGTGTACGACATGATAGGTGCTAGAATAGCGCATTACATAGCCATAACGTCATACGATAGGAAGGCGCTCACATAGTCTAAAACTGGTCTGTGTGTCTGTACTGACACTTACAAATTTCACATAAAAAGAGAGAGGAGAAACAAAAATGGTATCCAATGTCGGAAAATGTCGCCTGGTAAACAAAATAACTCATTCACATTTATGGTTGATGTCCAACATATGGTATTAATACCCCATGGGCTTTATTAAAATGTACATGTGGTCATCTCACGCACCACTGGCAAGGAATCGTATTCAAAATGGATATCTTTATTTTTGATTACTTAAAACAGTGTCCTTTCTACAAATATTATACCAGGTTTTCAAGAGACAACAGATCGGTTACTCCAATAAAAAAGGCCCGACATTCGTTTACCAATGTTTTCCATGTGTTTGTCCGAATACTAGCTCGTTAAAAAATAAGAAAGTATACTTTTTATCAGATTAATCATCTCTGCTCCGATTTATGATGACAATGTAAAAAGCACAAAATACACACAATTTAAAAAGGTCTGATACAAAACGCATAATTAAGTCGCATTGAAAGTAAATATGCAAATGATAATCCCGTTACATCAATACAATGTACGGTTTTAAGTCAAATCTGAGTAATTACGCTCGTTAATTCAAAACGTGAAAAAAATAGTAAATTACAGTCACGCACCATTTTGTAAATGAGCACGTTGCCAGCGGGATCGTGACTATGACCAAATAGTTTGTTAAACGACTGTTCATGCACACCTATAATGACGCGTGTACAGAGTTGCTTACAGCAAAACCTAAAAGTTTACAACACTTTTGTCTACACTATACTTAAGAAATAGGTTCATCAAATGATAAATACCATTTTTGTCACTGGATGACTACAAATAAATACAGTGTTGATACAAAAGTGGTAGTTCATGGCGAAAATGTCAAGATATTTACCATTTTGACAAACATAATTTTATCATTAATATCTTTCCAAAACGACATAACATATCCGCGATAGATCCGTGGTCGTTTGTAGGAGTACACTGTAAAAACTGATATACTAGAAAGAATTAAAAAACTAAACAAATTACACTAAACATTTCCATTGATTAAACCAATGATATGCAAACCACACGGCAAGTCACATGAGAATTTCAATCAATGCATTTGGTCGTCTGCTATAAAATATTTAATTTTATTCAGAGTTTACATTTGTAAAAAGTAGATGGAGCTCAAAAAAAATTATTGTGGTCCTCCTATAAATATTAGTCAAATTATTGAATTTATGAGAGTTGATTCAAACAACCTTCACAACCTTTTCCCAGAAACTACTGAAAACTATGTGACGTCACAAATTACTGAAAAATATATTTAATCGCATTTGTATAATCATTAGATTAACGTACATGAGAAATTACAATGTTTGACATTTCAGAACAAAGTCAATGTCACTCTCTGAAGTTATGCAATACTATAAATATGCTCACAACTTACAAATTCATGTTTTCAATGCAGAGGCATACATTGCTGGAGTCATGAATTATTAGATGGGAAGATCAAATCACAGTTTAAACAAATAGATTTATAACTTAACTGTACCATTTAAGCATATTAACATAACCCGTCTTTCACATAAAACAATATTAATTTTGTATGTGAATATCAAGATTTCATACTTCACTATCACTATTTCCCAAGGTTTTCAATTTATTCTGCCCCGATTCCATCCCAGTTCTATTCTTTGACATTAAGGGTTTCATTGCTGTAAGCAAACTCTGGTACAGATCGGGAAATAACAGCTCTTGGGCTGCTAGAAGTTGTTTCGTCCGGTGCCGCTCCTGTTGACAAGATTGAAGCATTAGTGCAACTTTTAGTATGAACAAACAAGGAGAATGAGATACTCGAGGCAACATGTATCAAGGCATCAGTGAAAACAGTATATTCATTTACCCAAGTGAAATAGTGCATTTCGAACAATTACAGTAAATTTTGGTATTTTCAGCAAGCACTCTCATGCCTTTTTCGCTATAGTAGTAGACTTTTTTGAATGGATGTTCTAGCTATATTTGGATCTTCCATGACAATTTCAGAGTTCTATCATAAATTAAAACATGTTATGATGACTAAATCTGTGTATTTACATGTATAATAATAATTAAGTATGGAGCACTAGCATCTTTAGATGCTTACTAGTTCAAATTTTGCTGGACATCAAAACGATGAACACGTAAATTGTAACAGCTATACTGTTCATCTATTAACATTTAAATTAGTCTATATAATCGTTGCCATCAAAAATGTTCTTTAAAGAAATCGAGACAAAGCTATTTAGCCTACAGCATTTCAAACGCTCTGTACAAATCAAAGGTCATTCACGTGACAGTTTCAATAGTCGGAATAGTAGAAAAGGCACAATAGCGAATTTGGCTGTCAATTGAAAACGTATCTGTACAAATATACACAACTTATTGCTTTTGAAGTATTATTTGTTGCCATGAAAGTATTATCAAAGAATATCAAAAGGGTCTATAGCATCCTTACATCACAGCAATTGCATACGTGAAATGAAGGTAGTAAACTATGACATATTGAGTTAAGTTACAAGCATAATTCTGTACCGAATTTGTTTAATTTAACCATATATACTAGAAATAACATATACAGATAATTGCAGAATGTTACCTTATTTAATCCGTGATTCAAAATAACAACTATCATGTACTCAACATTCTAAATAATACTAATGCCTATCAGCAGCAATGAGATTTATATACTGATAAAGACATACATTCGATAATTGGCAGAACACTAAGAGGTGATTTTGGATACTTTAAAGGAAAATGAGTTTCCAAAAAATACAGCACCATACAGATAAGTGTGAATTAGTCTTGACTTGAATGTCAGTAGCAATTCTCCATTTGTCCAGAGAATCAATATGCCCCACAAAAATGTTGGATCACTCGCACCGTAACACACCTTGGATGTAACTAAAATCCACGAACACTTATGTATTAGATAGGATAATAGCCAAATATTCAGACATTGGACAGATTAGACTGGACTTAATTCAGATACACCAATAGAATTGTATTGATTGCCAGTAGTCGGCTTGACAGTATAATTACCTTTGGTGCTTCAAAACAAGCAGGACAATTTTCTGCTATCACTGGCAATTTTACCTACAGAACATATAAAAAAGAAAGAACATAGCCAATTAATATTAAATTCGTAGTCATCAAAGCAGATTAAAAAATCCAATAACATAATGCAAATGACTGAAAAACAAATAAAAAAACTGATAAGTATATCACAGAATATAGTCAAGTCAGTAAAAAAAGAATGTACAGATATCACAGTACACATGATGTCAGTTATTCCGAAAAACCTGCTTCCCATGAGAGACTTTATTCTGAACCATAATCAAGAGGTTTCTGTTAGAAATCTGAGATCTACCCGATCCAAGTGACATTAATGCCATCTGAGGATTACATATTTAACTACTAGTGATAAAGTTTATTCAATCTGGGCCACCTATTGTTTACTCTGTTAACAGATAATTCATACAGAAAACAGTTGTTTTTGACAGTTGTATGAATTTTATTACAATCTTTTATAAGCGGCATCATTAAAAAAAAAAATGCTCCATGCTTTTTCCCCTGACTCAAATAGAAAAAGCAATAATTACCTGCTCAGCAAAAGACCTAGTATCTGTTTCCCGTACATAAACTAATGGTCTGATTACTCTCAAATCACCTTCTCTGTGAATCAAATGTATAAAACAAAATAGTAACTGGCATAACTGGTGTTGTGGTTAATTTCTGTGGTAAATTTTCAATTTGTCTCATTTTTGATTTAGTACGGAGTGGCATAGCTCCAAAGAAATCAGATAACTATACACTGTGGTTTAATATATTTACAGAGTTTCTTAGAGTTGTGAATTACTGGAATGATCCAAATATAATCAATACGTTGTCTATTCATACCCTATGTAATTTGTAAGTCAGGGAAATGCCATGTGCATGTTCACAGTAAGTCATCACATGTGTTCTACCTACTTGACGCTATAATTAGCTTTCATAGTTCTCAACAAGCCATTGTGAAATGCTGACATCAAGAAACTGAAACAGAAAAACTAGCATGAGATTTTAAAATAGTCAAATAAGGAGTAAAAAAATTGTGAAATCAATTACATTGTGACCTTAAATAAATCATGCATGCCCCTAGAAAAACAAAGTAGCCTGTAGGTTACATCAAACTGACAAAATGGATAGGAACCTTGTTTCCATGGTTTTAAAGTTTTCCATATTTCTTCAATAAAGATTTAGCAGCTTTATTAAAATCAAAAACTTTGAAAATCAAAAATAATTGGGCTGATATTTAAAAACTATTTCAGAGACTCAAATACATTTCCCATAGTCTCAAATAATCACGTTGTTAAAAATAAAATGACATGTATTAGGGCAATGCTGAAACGAAACCATACCTTTCAGTCAAATCATCAAGATGTTGTCCCATTGCAAGTACATTGTAGCCTTCCCTTCGTGCACAGGCATATATTCGCCCACGCTTCATACGAGAACAAAAACTACAAATCGATTCACAGACTGCTAACTGTTTGGCTTGTTCAATAATTCCTGTAATGTGTGATGTAACAATTAACTAAGAATTGAGTTATTATTATTATGGTATGGTATGTAGATGTGTACCTCACATTTTCAGTCATACATATAACATATTTTACAATGAATTGAAGATGATGTGGTATTTTCTTCATACTTTCATTAATTGTTAAAAGCTAAGTCAAAGCTAACAACATAATATCCCAGATAAAAGAGCTTGGCAAATGTAAGAAATGCAATTTACAGTTTTTTTTAAATCACTTTTTATTCTCTGGATATTCAAATTTTCATCAGTATTATGTATTCCGCCATCTTGATTCTTCAGCAAAGGATCATGTATGACATCATATGCACTGTTGTGAGAAATTGAGAAAAGTGATATAAAAAAACTGTAAATTGCATTCTCTTACATTTGCAGAGCTCTTACATTATGTTGCATTATGTTGTTTGCCTTGACTTCCCCTTTAATGTCTTAGGAAAAAGAAATGAAAAAAAACAAGTCATTGTCAATGACACGTCCCCGTTCCGTTCATATTTGAGTGACATAAACATTCAAAGCAGATCATGACCGAAATGCACCTGCATATGTACAACACATTGTACTAAATCTGAACAAAATCCATCCATGCATGACTGAGATCCGGTTCCGGAATTGTGAAAATACGTGATTTTGATGCATTTT